ACCTTTAAACGTGAGCAGAGACCCCAAATTATATTATCATTTGTTACAGTAATTTTAAATTTTTAATATAATTAATAATTACATTAATTATAGTAAAATATATATTTTACTATAATTAATATAATAAATTTTAATATAATTTAATATAATTAATATATTTTAATATATTACATTAAAACATATAATTAATATATAATTACTTACTTATATTAATTATATATTTTAATGTAATATAATACAGTAATTTTAAATTTTTAATATAATTAACCATCAACACTGTCATGTGGTACGAGAATATGTAAATTCAGCTATAGTGAATGCTAGCTGCCAGAAGGGCAAAAATTAAGTATTTATATACTCAGGTAAAAGTCAACATGCCCATAATTGTGATCTAAATGATGTAATGTAGATACTTTTGTATTCAAGAAGAGGGAGTGGCTGATGAAGATTTGAGTAGTAGAGGTAATTAGCCAGGATATAAAATTTATTCAGATGTTAAGTAAAGAGAAGGATTGGCTTCTGCACAATTTTATTTCTTCTTTGATCTCAGTGCTTTCTTATATTTGCCACTTTCTATAGTTCAACTAACTGAATTACAATTTGTCCAACTTCTAGAATGTTTTCTTGTCCCCTTGCCTTTGATTCTCTTCCTCATGCTTGGCTACATCTCTATGTAATGACATAGCTTCCATTTCTCAATTCCAGTATCAACATATACATCCTGTAGAAATCATTTTCTGATTCCTTCAACATACTCCTCCTTGCTCAATAACCGAGCTATTTTGCAGCACTCACATTCTAGACATTAATAGCCCTTTGTCTGTGTTTCTCTCCACGTCCACACTAGTTGTTTAATTACTTGAGGGTCTTATTTATCTAAATAGTTTAATAGTGACTCACCAATGGAATGAAAATACAGAGACATGGAGTATATATCTATTGAGCTGAATTAAATGCCTTCATATAAAATAAAACAAATAAGCAAGCTCCTATGCTATGGAAACCAACTAGTGTTTCAAACACAGTGCTAACAGCAACTGAATAATCTACTGCTTATAGCTGTATCCAATCTTTTTTTTTTTTTGAGACGGAGTTTCGCTCTTGTTACCCAGGCTGGAGTGCAATGGCGCGATCTCGGCTCACCGCAACCTCTGCCTCCTGGGTTCAGGCAATTCTCCTGCCTCAATTTTTTAGTAGAGACGGGGTTTCACCATGTTGACCAGGATGGTCTCGATCTCTTGACCTTGTGATCCACCCGCTTCGGCCTCCCAAAGTGCTGGGATTACAGGCGTGAGCCACCGCGCCCAACCCCAATCTTTTTAAATTAACTGTGCGGCCATCAGCCTAAACCAACATCATGTTTATAGTATCTGTCTTGACCAACACTTTTATGCATTTTTGCCTACTAATTAGAGATGGCAAAGTGTTAATTTTGCGTAAAATATTGCTATTCAGTTGCTAGTAGGGTTTTCTTAGTTACCTAAATGTGTAACTATTTCAATGTATTGGAGCGTGGACCTCTATCTCCACAGTAACCTTTAAACGTGTTATCTAACTGCAAATATTTTACAAATTTGGAAGCATAGTCTCTGTTTTCCTAGCTTATGCTTTCTGGATTGGAGAACTTTCAGCTTCAAACAAATGTTTTCCATGTATTATCTATGTTGCCCATATCGCACGGACATTTTTAAAATCCTATGCGTGATCTTTGCATCCACGGCCACCGCAGATAGCATATATAGTAGACATTAGTGCTGCCCATCAAATGTTTTCAGTTCTTCTGCTTTCTTGGTTCAAAATAAGAACTCATGGCCGCCTCATTTGAAAATGGATGGAGCCTTTTGACTAGTTCTAACCAAAAGCTTGTGAACATGAATGAGATATATCGGTCTTCTGAAAAGCATTTCATTGCCAGTGAGACCTTCCAGAGGTCTATTTTTATTCTGCTATGGTGACTAGCAACATTCAACATGCTTGCCATCTGTCAGTCTTGGTCTAAAAGCGACTAGAGTTGTTGACTTCTGATAGACACACAGGATGAGCAAAATAGCAAAATATAAACATTTGTTGTTTGAACCTCCAAGATTTAGGATTGACTGTTACCATAGCATCACCTAATTTATCCTAAATGATGCAGACATCAGAACCAGAAGAGGCATGCTGCTGTAACAAAACAAACAGACCTAGATACCTGTCAAGGCCTTATGGATGGGTCATTGAGAGTGAGAAAACTGACCAGTAAAGATCTGTGTTATTCAGTGGCAGAAACATTTGGTTACAGAATCACCTGAGATACTTTGGAGCTCAGAATATAAAGCTGAAACTCTTGTAATGCTCAGAAAATAGGTTGGACATTAGAATTACAGTAGCCAATGTCGGATTCTATTAGCTGCAGTTGACAAGCTATTACATTTAAGAAATAGCCTCAGTAAATAATTAGGTCTTGTAAAAGCAGAGATAAAAGGAAAGACAAAGAGAATCCAGAAATAGGGAAGTTTTTAAGTTGGAAAAGGCTACTGCATTCCATCCTAAGGAGATTAAGATAAAATGAGAAACGTTATAAGCAACAATACCAATTGAAATTTATTTTGCAGGGGGATTAAATCTAATAGAGGACCATTATACACTGATAAAACATCTGAAAAATTATTGCTGTTCCCAGAAAATCTTTTTTGTTGTCAAAATTGTTCAGGAAAAGGTCTCATGGTGTAACATGCCCATTAAAATCTGATAAGCTCAAGTTATCTGTGATTAAGAAAGAAGAATGTATTATATCAAACTGTATTGTGGTTACTATTATTGGTGCATAAAACTAACTGCATGCAAATTGTTAAGAAGCTGGGTAAGTTATTGTGAGACCTCTATGGATAAAAAACCCCACAATCTAGACTAAAAGATAAAATGACAGTTCAAGGTTTAAAATGAATTTATCGGGAAAGCAATCAGGCTGAACATACTACTCAATGCTCAAGGATAATATATTCTTCCGATTTGAACTTAATGTATAGACAACGAGGAAAATAAAGAGGGTGAATTCTCTGAGAGGTGCAAAGAAGCACACACACAAAAAGCTAGACTAAGCGACTTCTCTTCTAGAACAGAATCAGAGAATGTTCAAGGAATATTTCTCACCACCAGAATAGGAGTACATCAAAAAGTTTTCCCAGAATTGCTGTAGATTACTATATATGTGTCTTGCATCTTCTGCTTTTTAAATGTAAGTACTAATTGCAGTTTTAAGGCATCTACTGTACCATTATATATCAGACTATGGGAGCACATAACAATTAGATCAGTGATCACCAAACTTTTTGGCACCAGAGGTCGGTTTCGTGGAAGACAAATTTTTTATGGATAAGGTTGGGGGTGGATGGTGTCAGGATGAAACTGTTCCACTTCAGACC